TAGACCAACTATTTTCACTTTGTTGACAGAAGCTATGCTTTTATTAAAATTTTTTGTACAAGGCACCACCTTCTAGTTATCTTGTACAATAACACTTTTAACTTGCTTGCTGAATATACAGAGGAGTCTAAAAAAAACCTGAAGTATCTTGATCTCTGTAAAAACTGGTATTTATAGTTGTCTCTTATATCTTTTCTAACAAGTTTCTGTTTTTGTTAGCTGAAAGTTTGGTCTAAGTGATCATCAGGAAGAGTTGCTTTTTTTTTATAACAAACTCTAATTTAATAAAACTTTTTTAAATTTTAAAACATTATATTTTAAATTTTTATATAACTATTGTAAAAATAGCAATTTATAATTGTAGAAATAGCAATTCTCTAAATTATATTTTATATAGTTAAAAAATTTTTGATATTTCTATTCAAGTCTAACTAATTTATAAAACTAATTTTATGCTTATTATTTTTTATTTGGTTAATAGCTGTCTTTTAAAATATCTAAAACTATATAAAATTTTATGCTATATATTTATAGAATTATTAATATTAAAATTAATTTGAAAATATTATTAAATTTTTTAAAAAATAAAATACTATATTTTAAAATAAAAATTAATTCTAGAATAGCTTGTAATTAGTTGTTAATTAATTTTATATTTGAAGATTATTTAAAGCTATATAAAATTATATAAGCTAAAACAAATAAAATTATTTGTTTTGATTAATATAAATTAGCTCAATAAAGAAGAATAAAAAATATTAAAAAACAAAAAATAAAAGTTTAAACCTATTTTGCAATATTAATAAAAAATATTAAAAAGACAAATTTATTATAAAATCTATTCTTAATCTAACTTTATACCAATTTTTACTTTAATTTTAATTTAAAATTAAAAATATATAGTTATATATAGCTTTAGATATACTCTATATTTGGTAATATTTAAAACCAATAAGCTTTTTTTATAACTTTACTTAAAATCAAAAAGAATCTTTGCTTAATAAATTTTTTTAAATTTCAAAAATTATTTTGACTAATTATATAATTGTATTAAGTACATTAGATTTTTGATTTAAAAATATAATAAAGAATTGTTAAATTTTAATACAAGATTTTATTAAGAAACAAGACTTTTATAAATATTAAAAAATATATATTTAAAATTCAAAGAAAGGTCATATATATTTCTTTAAATTAATTAAATTTTAGTGATTTTTGTATAAATTTATATAAAATTTGATGTATCAACTTATTTGATTTATAAGTAACAGCAATAGAAACCTCTGTATAAAAACATGTTCTGTAATTGTTATAAGTAACAGCAATAGAAACCTCTGTATAAGAACATGTTTTGTAACTGTTATAAGTAACAGCAATAGAAACCCTGTATAAGAACATGTTCTGTGCAATGTTTAAAATTGGCTTGCACAAGATGCACATGTGCAAGAGTTTTTTAGATTTTTTTAGATTTTTAAAAATCTTTTAAGTGTGCAAGTAAAATTTTTAAAAAAAGTTGCACAAAATGCATTTATGCATGGGATTTTTTTTTGAATTTTAAACACTGGTCCTGTGACGGATTTATATAACTTTATAGAATTATGAGTTTTATAAAAAGCATACTTTTTGACGTAGCTGTTCTTAAATTCCGACCATGTTTATTATTCTATTCTCACTTCAACATATTTATTATCCTTTTTTTATTATTCTTTTATTTGAGTTATAAAAATAACATAGTATAGTTGATACTGTTTAAATGCATACTGCATATTGTTTAAATGCATAATTTTTTTAAAAAAAAATAATAGTAATATGCATTTAGACAGACAATTTCCTGATGTTTTTTTGTCTTTCCTGATGGTATGTACTTAGACAGTATGACTGCATAGGCATTATAAAAAAGTTCTTATCATGTGAATTTTCATTTAAATAATTACCTTTGTTTTAAAAAAACGTTTGCAAAAGAACACTGCTAATCAACTGTGTTTGGAGTAAAAGAACTAACAGAAACTCTTATAAAAATGTGACTCTATACAATAAAATGACAATATTTGAACAATAAGCTTTGCTTATCTAAATTAGTTGCAAGAATCTCAATTCTAGAATTGTCCAGTAATTATTTGCAATATATTCTTCATGCTAATCGTTATAGAATTCCTTTAATTAATGTATTTAAATTTGGCAAACTTGAATTAATAAAACTTCATGAATCGTGGCCATAACATTTGTGTAGCAGTTGCATTTGTTCTTTTTTTTTTTTAAAAAAAAAATCAAAAACAGCATTTTCAGTATTTCAGTTTTACTGTTTGAATATGTTACGGGTCAAATTGGTTTTTAGGTCAAGTTAAACTTGACCAGGATCAAATTGATCAATTAAAAAACCCGGCCGGCATCAACATAACTCCGGCCTGTCCTAACCCTAAAATTCTACTAGGGATCCGGGTTAAGTTTAACTTGACCTAAAAACCAACTTGACCCGTAACAAATATAAGTATTCGCACGATATAAAATCAAGTGAGTCAAAGTAAAATCTGAAACCCAGAATTAGCTCGAAAGAGCCGGATCCAATGCAGTCAACTAATGTGTTTTATCGTATTTCGGTTAGAGTCTATCCAGATACCCCGGAATTGGGTTAAAAATCGTGGAATTAAATTCAACTCAAACGATTCGGATCCGATCGAGTCTTTAGAACATTTTACATACTGATACATATCGTTTCTTGATCTATGTACTTTATGTCGACTAGAACCGGGAGTTAACCTTTGAATAATTAACCCAATTATGTCAGCTGAGGCAGGTATTTATATGGGATCAATATACTGAATTAAGTATCTTTTATTTTATTTTATTTTTTTTTGTAATACATGATAATTATATTTCAATTATAATTAAAATCGTTTTATTCACATTAATTTAGTCCATAAATATAAAAATTTATTAATCTAAGTATTTAAATTATGTTACTCAGGTTTTTAAATGTTTATTACAGTATTATTTATTCTACTTTATTTGCATCAATCCTTATGGCGCATTTGCAAGATCTAGGTATAATCCTGAGGTATAAGATGCGCCATTTATTCTAATGCTTCAGCAGTTAATCGTTTTGGAGGTTCAGTATTTGAGCATCTATTCATTAAATTCAAAAGTAACTGAAGAACTTCACAACCAGAATCGTTAAATCTTGATTTAGTAGAATGCTATATGATCCGGAAAAAACTTGGCATAATTATTCCAAAGAATAAATATCTGATTGCTGAATATATTCTTTATTACAGATCATATAGTAAATGTTTAACCAAATCTAGTGATAAAAACATTTTTCACTATTCTAAAATATGTGATGATTATGATCAGTATACATTAAATAATTTAGACTTCAACATATTCAAATTATGTTTTAATGTAGTGAAAATATTTTTCTAGTCATCCCTAAAACCCTATAAAAAAAATTTTAAAATCATATTCAGAATTTGCTCGGGTTATTTTTTTGAGATGAGTATTTTCTGTAACAAAAATCTTTTAAAATTTTATGAATATTTTCAAATTTCTGAATATTTTTGAAACCCTGTTAATTTCCTGATTATAATTTTTATCAAGCAAAAAATTATAATCAAGAAATTAACAAGTTTTCGAAAATATTCAGAAAATTTGAAAATATTCAAAGGTTTTGTATAGATTTTTGTTACAGAAAATGCTCATCTCTTAAAAAAATAACCCGAGCAAATTCTGAATATGATTTTAAAAATTTTTTATAGGGTAAACCATATTCCACATAACATATTTATACCTTAGGTTAATGTCCCAATTTTGCAAATGCGCTGTAATATTTAAGTATTTACATTTATTAATCTAAATATTTAGAATAGCTACTCAAGTTCATGAATGTTTAATTTATTTTATTCTCGCTAATTATTCGATGAGTATAAATTATTTTAAGAATCGAATAAATAATCGGAATAACTAATACAAAGAGATTCAGATTATGGAAAATGTGCACACTGGAACAAAATATGTATTAAACATGTTATCCTGACATAACAATTCATATATAGACAATCAGAAATAAAAACTGATAATTGTATGAAAAGGTGTTCTATTTAGAATCAGCTCGTATAAACATAGATTGAGTAATATTTAATAATCGGCAGAGGATTTAGTTCTGCTTTCTTCAACTTACTTAGATGGTATGCGAAAAATTAAGGAAATTAAGAACGATAATGGTGAATATTCTAGTACTGCAATAAAACCTTATCTTGTTCTAAGGAAAAAGTTATTTATTAACGCTTACTAATCAGGAGCTAATAGATGTCCGAAGTAATTATATCAAACGATTCGTATCATTTTTTTAGGGATCTGCAAAAATCTAACGGACATTGCATGGTTTTCGAGTCCTCCGCTACGCTTGATAATTATATGAAATGTAGATTGTACAGTACAGCAGTATGGTTTGATTCAAAACCAAACCGAATAAATTCTTGATGAATATGCAAATAATGGAAGTTATCAAGTCATATTTTGCAGACTAAATTAAAACTACTTTAAGGTTATATTTTGCAGACTAAATTAAAACTACTTTAAGGTTATATTTCACACAGGATGTCGATGCAGACTTTCGCATCGGTGATATTTGCAAGAAAAAAGCGTTAGTAAGAGTATATAATCTTATTTCTCTACCGGTGATTGCATTTGATTGGCTAAAATAATGTGCCATTATATTCATAAAGTTGTGATCCCACCCGAGTTGCTTTTTTTGGATGGGTCCAACTTCTAACTGTTCAGATTTAATTACAAAAAGTGCATGACTGAGGCTCGTTTATTTCTTAATAAAATAGCTTTATTAATCTTTTGTCAGGATAATTCTAATAAATACATTACATAGAAATTCCATCGCAAACATACAACACTCATTCTAATGCATCTTGTTTGCTTATAAATTTTTAATAAAACATGCATATAATAATCTTACGTTAAAAGAAATAAAGAACAAAAAATCTTAATAAAAATTAATCATTATCAGGAATTTTTATAGATGATATTTCTTTACTAATCAACTTTAACTTTTGAGTAATCTCTTGCGTGTTAATGAGTTTACTAGTATACATATGATCTGAATGTTTTTGAACATTTAATAACTTCTTGATCGTTTTATCTTCATTAAAAAAACCAATCAACTTATTCCTAACATATTTATTAATTATTTCCTTAAATAGTTTCGTGTTAAGAAGTATATCTCTATCATGACTCGAAAGATAGTCAGGACCAACAGCTATCCATTTAAAGAATATATACAAGGTTTCAGCGGTAGGACGTTTTCGTGGATCAATATTCATGCAAAGCTTGGCTATTTCAATATAAAAATCTGGTGTTCCAGGTGCAAACTCAGGTTGTAATCCATTGCAAATTTTTACCGCAAGATTAGTATTAAATTCATATCCGTCAAACGGTCTTTGTCCTGTTGTTATCTCAGCCATTATAACACCAAAAGCATAAATATCAGATTTTTGTGAAAACATTCCACCTTGTAATACTTCTGGGGCAACATATGGCATGACTCCATATATTTTACCAGAATTATTTTCATCTTTTGTTTTAGTTAATCCTAAATCAGAAATATAAGATTTGAATTTATCACTTTCTACACTTTGTAAAATATTACCGCTGTGAAAATCTGAATGAACATATCCTGCTTGGTGAATAATCTTTAATTCATGTAAAATATCAACAAAGAATGTTTAATTTATTTTTCCACTCAAGTTCTTGAAAATTTTTTCTTAGAAAGTTATTTAGACTTCCATTGTTAACATACTGAAATACTATCAAATATTCGTTTGTTTTTGCGTTTCGAGTTAGTCCATACACTTGATTACATGCTTCATAATATAATCCAAAACTAGTATGAACTTTAAACTTTTAAAATAAAAAAGGATCCAAATTAATAATACATAATAATAAATGTTGACAATTTAAATGCTTACTTCTTTTAAAAAATCATTAGAATCTTCGTTAGTTAAAGTCTTAAGTGCAACAGTAATTGGTTTACGAACTTCCATATATTGATGATAACCGTCGTAATCATCTTCTTGTTCATAACTTCGAATGCCATCTATCCAAATTGCTTTATAAACAGTGCCAAATCCTCCCTCACCAATTTTTTCAATATTGTCTAGTCTATCAAAAGGAATCCATTCAATCAAACGTTTATAATCATTGCTTAAAAGTTGTAATTCTTTTATACAATCATCAATATATTTATTTCCACTTGTCCATTTCAAAATCATTCTATCTGGACTACATGTTTGGCACCAAAGTGGAGAAGTGCACTTTTCATTGCAATATTCACATTTGCCTATAATATATTTAGCACGATTCTTCAAATAAAATGTTTCATCAAGTTTCCCTAAATCATATTTATCAACTAAGTCAGGTTTCTTAAACCATTTCTCGAATTTATCCCAATTCTCTTCTACACCAAATCCATAATAATAACAAATGGCTGTCTTCCAAATTCCTTTAACATTACCATTTAAAGCAGATTTTAAGTAATACTCGAAGGCCTTTCTTCTACTTCGTTTAACACCTATTCCCCAATTATAACAAAAACCCGTCCAAAACAGTCCCTCATCATCATCATCATCATCAGCAGCCTTCTTAAAATAACCATATGCCCGACGCTCATTCTTATTAACATCACCATTACCATATTGAAATTGCCAACCTTTGTAACAAAGATCTTCGTACGGATCCATAAATGTATCGGTATTGTAAATCCTTTCTTTATTAACGTTTATGCATATTAAGTTTCGGTAAAATGGTAATTTGTAAGAAACGTGATCTCATGATTCCATGTGATTGGTTGGATCATATGTGCATCTAAGTTACGGTAAAGTAGTTTTCATATAATTTGTAAGACATGTGTTCGTACTATCATATGATTTCATATGATTGGTTGGATCATATGTCATCGGTTTTTGATAAGTAAACTTTATGCAAAGTCTATTGTAGTTCGATAATGCTAGCTATGTTTTCCATAATGCTGGTACATTATATCACGTGTGAAATTTACATGAAATCCATGTTACTGAAACTTACGCAAAATTACATGAAATGTAAAATTGTGTAGTTCAACAAAGCTAGCTAGCTTTTTCCATAGTGCTGGTACTATATATCACGTGTGAAATTTATATGAAATACTGTATATGTTACTGAAACTTACGCAAAATTACACGAAATGTAAGATTGTAAAACGTTCAAATCAAATGATGCAATAATGCTGGCCAAACTTTTGTAAATTTAGTACTTTATGCATGACGTGGGAAATTACATGATTTAATTTTCTGAAACTTACGCAAATTATATGTAATGGAAAATTATTTATGTAACACAACCCTATTAGGGTTGTGAAATTACTGTAATTTTACGTAATTTATCAGTTATGTAATTTTTGCAAAAGATTCGGTAAATTGGATTGTAATTTTTGATCACATGATGTATGGCTTCTGCGATCAAATTTTCGGCGATTTGAGATCATACATTCAAATTAAATAGTACAATAATGCTGGCCAAACTTTGTAAACCGGTGCTTTATATAAAACATGATAAAAAATTACATGAAATTTGATTTACTGAAATTTACATATTGCAACTTTCGCCAGTCAGATTTTGAGATCAGATGTGAAATTATGTGCTTTTTTGAAATTTTGCCTAACAAAAAAAAGTTCCTTATCAAATTGATGTATACTATGTAACCGGGGTTAAATCACCACCCAAAAATTTTTCAGATCATGTGATATGAACTAATTTTTTTTTATTATCATTATTGTATTCTGTTATATATCGATATATCATTCTTGTTATTATATATATCGTTCTTGTTATTATATTTATTTTGTTATTTATCGTTATTGTTATATTTATCGTTATT